AGAGAGGAGAAGAGCCCTGTCCCGCCGCTCACCTCAGCCGCGCCGCACACCCCGAGTGACCGCGCCAGACCTCCTCACTGCTCGCAGCCGCCCTTTATGGCCCTTGATCGCCGCCCCGCCCCGGCCCGACCCGGCCCGCCCCGCTCGGCCCGGCCCTCCCTCCGCAGCGGGGGCGGCTCTGGCAGCCGRTCCGGCCTCCGGGAGCTCTGCCCGGGGACCCCCGCGGCTCTCGGGGCGGGGAGGGGACGGCTGTGGCCCTGGAGGCCTCGCCCGCCGCCTCAGGGGCTGAGCTCCACACGCAGCGCTCGCTTCCCGCTCCCACAAACTTCTCAAGCTCCTCAGTTCAGGGAAACATTGAGGTGCTGGAGCTGCTCCAAAGAAGAGCAGCAAAAAYGGTGAAGGATAGGGAGTTACAGGATTACGAGTCCTGTGATGAGAGGCTGAGGGAGCTGGGGKTGTTTAGCMTGRGGCAAAGGAGGCTCAGGAAAGACTTTATCACTCTTTACAAGTCCCTGAGCCAGGCGGGGATCAATCTCTTCTGTGACAGGACAGGACACAGTTTTAAGCTGTGGCAGGTTCAGGTTGGCCATTAGGAAAAAATTYTTTACTAAAAGAGTGATTAGACATTGGAATGGGCTGCCCAGAGAGATGATGGAGTCACTRTCCCTGGAGGTGTTTAARGAAAGACTGGATGTGGCACWCAGTGCCATTATGTAGYTGACATGGTGGTGTTTGGGCATAGGKTGRRCTYGGKGATYTSAGAGATCTTTTCCAGCCTAATTGGTTCTGTGATTCTGTGGGTTACCATGAAGAGCTGACTGAAATACAACACGCTTTCCCGAAGGCACCTTGTCCCAGACAGAACAGCTGTCAGCAGGGATCCCAGACATCCAGCTTTGTCAAAGAGTTCTCTGTGACTCTCCATTAGAAACAGCCAAAGCAAGCTGTTCATCCAGAACCTCCAAGGATGGGCTCACAAGGATGTTACAGCACTGAAAAAACAGAGTGCTACTGGAAACTGTGGCTGATGAGCTGTGGGAGCTCTGCACACACGGACAAGGAGAACGGAATGACCGGACAGGAATCAACTTGGAGATGCAGCGTCATAAAAATCAGCAGATGTTTGATAATGCAGGGTGTGAGATTGTGCATTCTGTGGGCAAAAGTTACGATTTCTGCTGAGAACACAATGTTTCATCGAAYACAAGAGTATCTGCTTTTTGTCAGGATAACAAGGACTCAGTAGAAGAGGGGGGAAAAAAATCAACACTTAACCTAGGACAAGCCAGCTGACATAATTCTAGTAGAACTAAAAAAAGCACTTACAAAGCACTGGAAAAAAAAATTACCATTACATCTGTTATCCTGTTTGGCCATACRCAGTCAAGAAAGATGAATTAAAGCCTGCACACATATGGAGAAGAGCTGACCTTGTATAAGGAAACTGCTCTTYGCCTAGCAAACATAACAGACCTGCCTTGTTTCCCCAACAAAGCCAAAGCTGAGCAGGAATACAGATGAGTAAGATAATTATTTATTTTTCATCAATATTGTCCCACTGGGATAAATAAAAGCAAACAAAATGACCTATTTAAATTAAAGGATAACATGGACACAAGAATCAGATTCAAGGCAAGTTACCATTGTGTTCTCCAATGAGACAATCATAATTTCAGAGCATTGCAGGAGGGAAGGGAATAAAACTAGGTTTAACATAAAGCTAGAAAAAAAATATGCAATATGATTGTTTGTGGTGATATGGAGCTGATCATTAGGATCCAGATCTCTCAACACTTTTTTTTCCCTATGTTTCTAAAGTTAGAAAGAGAAATAGGGAGCTCAAAGAGAAGTAGTAGCACAAATGAGAGAAGCATAGCTWCCTGTAAGGAAAAGTCTCAGAGATTAAAACAGTGAATGATCACACCTCTGAAGAATATTTCTTCAGTGAGATTTCTGCCTCAAATAATACTGTCTTTTGACAATAACTGATGATTTTGGGCAGTATGCTTTCTGTTGCACATGGGGACCAATTAAAGTACTTACTGAAAAATATGTTCTATTGGGAATATTTATTAGATACCAATATAGGCAAAGATAAACTGCAGCACATACTGCTATTACAAAAATTAAAGTATTAACCAAGTATTAATCAAAGGTTCATAATTTATTTAATAATTACATTAATTATTTACAAGTTCTTTTTTCACAAAAACATTTATAAACACAAAAAGGTATCTCAATGCTATTTTAGGGTGTTTTCTTCATCCTCTGACTTGCAGACCTTGAGCATTTGTCAGGGGAAGCACTGTACTCTCCTCAGTGCACTGTCCTGACCATACACTTGTTCTTTTTAATTGCTTTTCACGGGTGCCACAGAAAGGGTTCTTAGGATAGGAATTGGAAATGCTRTTAAAGCCAGCTGGATCAGACTCCTGGGTAAATTGCAAGAATAATGAGGAATGCATCTTTGACTACTGAATGCCTGGAAGAATGAGCCCATTTAGCCCTGAGGAAAAGCTGCCTTCTGCTACTCATCCACCTGTGTCTGTGCAGTGGATTGCAGTGCCATGAGGGTGGAAAACGTGGAAATAAATATGAAAATAAACAACTGCTGAGACGAGTGATTAAAAATTGTGGGCTACTGCTGAGGTGCTGTGGCTGCCCAGGTGGCTGACACAGGCCCAGACAGAGCTCCATGGTACAATCTTAATGTTTAGYMTTTATTTAGGACTTTCCAGAYGCCAGCTCTAATTCTAAGTCTAGCRAGAAGTAATGGATGATCCCAATCTTTGCAAGACATACTTCAGAGTGGCTGGGATAMAGATAAAATCCTGCCACGAGACAGCCAGCAGTGACAGCCACAGTCACCCGTGGCTCTTGGACAATTGTCATCTCCTCCTTCACCCACAGCTGCTCCAACCCTTATCTAAGTTTGTGGCTCCAGTGTTTCCTCCCCTGTCCTGGGGTGTACCCCATTCAGGATATACAGCACTGGACCCGTTTCAAAGGTTTTTCAGAATGAGAATGAAGGAATAAAGAAGGATCAGCTGGCTCCTGGAAAGGCAGCGTGACAAAGRGAAAAGAGTCTGTCAGCTGCCAAAACAGAGGCAAGTATGGAGTTATTTTAAAACAGTGCAAGTTGTTCATTTTTATCCAGTAAATAGGGCAGCAAATCTGGCAGAAGAAACTCACTTAAAAGCCTGTAAGTCAGATCAGTGACCTGGCGCTGTCAGATTAGTTTCCTTACGTGATGCATTGCTGAACGTAATGTGTCATCATAAATCTTGGTTGCTACAGCTGTTAAAGCCATAAAGTGAAGCAGAGTTATTAATACCCAGTAGTAGTAGCTGTCAGGCTCCATTCTGTAATTGAGCATCAGATCTGCAGYTGGAAAACTCTTCTTTTTTGTCTGATATGTGGAGTAACTGCATGTCTGCAGATGCTGAGAGACRGGAGACAGGTAGGAACATCCCACCCACACAGAGCTATGATGAAATCCTCCTGCATAGTATCAAGAGTGAGCCTCTCTGTTGTTTCTCTGCAAGGCTTTGAGGTTTCCTGCTGGGAGATTAAGCAATTCTTCCTCCAGATACATGGATAAAGGTAAACATGTGAAGTCCATTATAGACACACTATAGTCATGCAGGGAACAGCAGCCTTGCAAAAATCAGAAGTTAMATTTGCTGCTAGAAGCACTGTGACTGCTGGAAAGTCCCTGGTGTAAGGGATGGGATGCTGCCATGGAGGATTTCTCAGTTCTCACAGGTTCTAAGCTCAGCAAAACGCCCTTTCTCCAACAGACAAGAGATGCAACTCTCAGCAGAACATCTCTTCTCCAAGAAGCAAGAAATGGTACTAGACCCCTTAACCAGCAGGACCTGTGCAAAGTAAATTCATGTTGCATTTAGGTGTGAGGAAGACAGAAAACCAGAGCTGCYCTCTCTGCCAGATGGCTTTTTGAAGATGTCCCCACCCATTAGCCCTTTCACCACTTTGATGTGCACCACCTCTGGAGAGCAGGGCTGTGGGCTGCAGACTCTTCTCACAAATCCCCTGATACACAAGCCCCAAAATACCGAAAAGCCTGAAGGAGCAGAGGCACCCCATTGTGTGATGAAACATGCAGGCCAAATTCTTCTAGAAGGGAAGAGGGKTTTTTTCCTCTGACCAGGCCCCCRCACTTTTGCTTCCASAGCAGGAAACTCGGTTTTGCCAATSTRGTTGTGCTGTGAGGATCCAGAGCGGGCAGCCCAGAGAAGCCTGGCATTTTCCTTTCCCTTAGGAAGCAGCAGGGCAKACACACGCAGAGATGGAATGCACTTGCTGGAGAGAATGGGCAGCAGCCCATCAYCTGACTTGCTTTTTCTTTGCATCTGAGCTCACCCCAACTGCTTAATTAGTCACACGGKTTCCTGGAACAGGTTTACTGGAACATGGGGGAGAACAAAACGTCACAATTTTCGGTGGCAGATGAGAAGATGATGGGGGGGAGGCAGACATGGGGAGAGAACAAGGGTTTGCAAATCAGACTGAAAAAAAGTTTACTCTAATTTGGGAGTCATGAGCAAATTCAGGACACATCGGCTCAGGCTGCAGGTGGCAAACACAGCAAAGGGGGGATGCAGAGAAACAGTGAGGTTGTTTAGGGAGTGCAGTTTTGTTGTGTGAAGCCATTAGGTATTGAGCTGTCTATGGGCTCTTTCYTCAAGGACTTTGTACTATAGGTTTTCAATATTAAATCACATCTTTTTCACTTTCCCTCATTATTCACAGTTTTAGGAAGCAATGTAGAGGACAGCAGTGGTTACACTACCACTAGACCAACCTCTTTGGATCCTGCATCTGCAAGACCTGCCTGGTTTTGGTTGCARATGTACTGTTTGCCCCTGAAATTCAGATTTGAAGATTAACAGAGATTATTAACCACTCCTTAGTACTCATACAATACCTGGATAATACAACCCCACTGTAAAATTCATGGCCCCTTCAGTAACTTGCACTTGTCCACAGGCTTTTTTTAGATCATTCAAGAAATGAATAATCTGTTTTTCCCCACAGTAGTTTGCTACAATTGTTATMTGGTTTCATGAGTAAGGTCCATAGACAGTTTGATCTGGTTCTAATTTGCACCTGTTTTCTTTTTCGATATGTTTTTTTTTTTAAATTCTGCTGTCACTGGAAAGTTTTCTGCAATTTTTTTTTGTGCTTTTTCAGTAAACCTTTCATTTCTTGCTGGTGGCAATGRCAATGTGAAAAGGAAAATCTTAAAATAATCTAAATGAGAGCTGATAGAGRCTCCCCATACTCAGATACACCTTTTCCTTTGGGTCACATTTATGAGATTTAGAACCTATTCTTCCAAAGAGGGGATCTGCCTTTCAGTGGAGCAGCTTGCCAGCTGGACTGCACAATCACACAATCATGCAGGCACTTAGGGAGGTGAGGCAGGATGGCAGCAAACTTCAAGGTGTGATGGACTTGCATTCTTGGAAACCTTGGGCCCCGTATCAACCACAAAGAATTGTCTCAGTCTGCTCAGTGGGAAGCACATGGAAATCCACAGCTCTGGAAGCCACTGCCCATCTCTCATGACAACTGGTGCATGCTCTGCTGGCACTGGTGAGGAAATGTCTCGTGGGCAGCATCCTCAGCAGCATCTCCGTGGCGTTCCATCCCTCCTGCAGCACAAGAGCGGCTCTGTCCGCCTCTCCTGCGGGAAAGGGATAACAATCTCCCTTTGCACCCAGTTTCAGTCTCACCTTATCAGGTCTCAGCTGACTGCCAGTCTCACCTCCTCCGTGGCTAGTCAGCATCCTGCAAGGATCCCAGAGGCCCTTGCAGGCGTTTTTGCAACGGAGCTGTGCTAGAACAATCTTCCAGTGGTGGTAATTAGGGCCTTCAGGCTCTCCTATCCCACATAGTAGATTCAGGGTAAGGTTCTGTATCCCAGCCAGGGAGAAAGCTTTAGCACAACTCTTTAAAATTAAATTTGACATTTTGCCGTGATATAAAAAAAGTGGGGGCAGGGGGCAAAAAGATGGAGCCAGGCTCCTCTCACTTGTGCCAGCCACTAGGACATGGGCAGAAAGTGATGCACAGGAASTTCCTCCTGAGGAAGAACTTCTTTACTTCTTTACTGAGATTGCCCAGGGAGGCTGTGGTGTGAGACTGAAAACAGMYAGAAAAYAAACTTTYTAACACAATTTAAAGTATTAGAAAGCAGGGGTTCTTTATTATGAGCATGCTGGACACCCAGAAAGTATCCTCCCTAATTTAGGTGTGTAGTGAAATTTTACAACARGGCAAAATTCCATAATGACCATACATATTCATTACAATGTACTTCCTAGCTAATACAGAAATATCACTTTTCCTAGAAGTAATTTGCATGCATCCACCTCCTGCTGGAAGTCCTTTATTGTCCTAGAGGGTCATCTAAAGGGCTCTCTGGTGGTTGTACTCACTAAGTGCCCCCAATGTTGCAGATGACATGGGCTTGAACCTCTCTTAGGGCATGCACTGTTGGCTCTTGTTACATGGCTTTGCCACAAATGCCATTATAAGCCTCATTATTTATTTATATACTTGTTTCAAATACATTTGGCATCCTATGTTTTGTGTAGGATGCAAATTTTTTATTTATCTATTTTGCTAGTGTTTAAGCTCTATTTAGTAACTTGGAGGTGAACTGAAAATTTCTATTTTTGTGTTGACTGTCAGCAGTCTCCCTCACTGGAGATATTCCACAACTGTCCGGACACAATCCTGTACCATGTGCTTGAGCAGGGAGGTTGGACCAGATTGACACACTGTGGTCAATCGATTCTGTGATATGTATTTGTTTTCTGTTTTCTGAGTATTTGTAAGGGCGGGGMGGGTGGGAAGAGAGAACTGCATCGSCGCGGGTTCTCACAGAAATCGCTCCTTTCCTGCTGCAAGGGAAGCGGAAAGCGGTGCCGTACCGAGGGCGGCGCTTCCCKGCGCTTCCCCCGGACCATGGCGGCTGCGGGCGGGATTGTGCCGGTGCTGCCGGGGCTCTACCTGGGCAGCGCCGAGTCGTGTTCATCCCCGGAGGCGCTGCGGACGGCGGGGGTGGTGGCGGTGCTGACGGTGGACGCGGAGGAGCCGCCGGCCGTGCCGGGGGTGCGGGCCATGCACGTTCGGCTGCGGGACGAGCCCGGCGCGGATCTGCTGAGCCGCCTGGACGAGTGCGCCGCGTTCCTGAGCGCGGCCCGGGCGGGCGGCGGCGCGGCTCTGGTGCGCTGGTGAGGGCCGGGGCTGTGGTGGGGCTGTGGCGGGTCCAGCGCTCCCGGGGAGTGGCTCTGGTGCGCCGGTGAGGGCCGGGGATGTGGCGGGGTTTAGCGCTCCCGGGGCACCGCTCTCGCCCGCTGGTGATGGCCGGGGGTTAGGGCCGGGGCTGAGGCGGGTCCCAGCGCTCCCGGGGCGCCGCTCTCGCCCGCTGGTGAGGGCCGGGGCTGAGGCGGGGCTGTGGCGGAGCTGAGGCGGGACCCAGCGCTCCCGGGGTACCGCTCTGGTCCGCTGGTGAGGACCGGGGCTGAGGCGGGTCCCGCCCGCTGGTGAGGGCCGGGGCTGTGGCGGGGCTGTGCCGGGTCTGTGGCGGGTCCCAGCGCTCCCGGGGCGCGACTCTGGTGCGTTGTGAGGGCCGGGGCTGTGGCGGGGCTGAGGCGGGGGTCAGCATTCCCGGGACACCGCTCTGGTCCGCTGGTGAGGACCGGGGTTGAGGCAGGGCTGTGCCGGGTCTGTGGCGGGTCCCAGCGCTCCCGGGGCGCGACTCTGGTGCGCCGGTGAGGGCCGGGGCTGTGACGGGTCCCAGCTGCTGCTGACGGACCGCCCTTGCCTTGCAGCCACGCCGGGGTGAGCCGCAGCGTTGCAGTGGTCGCCGCTTTCCTGATGAAGACGCAGGGSCTCGGCTGCGAGGAGGCGCTCGCCGCCCTCAGGGCCGCCAAGCCGGACGCGCAGTGAGTGCCCCGCCCGCGACCCCCGCACCGCGCCCGGTGCTTTTCCTCACCCCGCTCCCTTCTTCCCTCCGCCGCAGGGTGAACCCGGGCTTCCAGGGRCAGCTGAGGCTCTACGAGGCGATGGGCTGCGCTGTGGACACCAGCAGCGCGCTCTACAAGCGGTACCGGCTGGAGATGCTCAGCGAGAGRTTCTCCGGTGAGTGCGAGAGTCGCGGTGCTCGGGGCAGTGTCCCAAAGGAGGAACGGGCTGTCCCGGAATGAATGCACAAAGCCCTGTCAGAGGGGGTTGATTTCGAGTTTTGCCCTCAAAGCAGCTGAGCCAGGAGATATTCATTGGCCCGGGCAAGCATTCACATCATACTAGAGAATGCTTTCCAAGCATTCACATCATACTAGAGAATGCTTTCGCCCTAGAGAATCCCAGCTCATCAGTGGGGAAAAATGTGCCTTTGAAAGATGCCTGGGAAATAAGATCTCTAAGGAGATGTGCTCTTTAGCAAAGTGCAAAAAATGGTAAAGTTTGATACTTTTTTTGTGGTTTTTACATTCCTGGCAAAGCAAACAACATCCTCAGAAAACATGTTAATGCGATGAAAAAAGTAACATGCAAAACTTGAAATAAAGTTGAAATTCAGGTAATAAAGTAAACTTTCCTACTTTAATTCGTGAAATGGTAACTGTAATAGATACATGTGCATATGTGTAATTTTAAAATAATGACCTGTAGCTTTTCTTGCAAGATCTCAGTGTTGCATACTCAGTGTGATAGTGCTGTCGCCCTTCATGTGTCGTTGTCCTTAGCAGTTCCCATTTGTAAGCTGATTTTCTGTATTCTGAGCACTAAAACATTGGCACAACTGCTCTGGAGAAACCTCCTCTGCCTGTATGTTCTGTTGAAGTAAGAACATAAAGCAGAATACCATTATTTTACCACGGTTAAGGCCATAGTCTAGATCCCAGTTTCTTGAATTAAGCAAATCCCAGTCTCAGGCATGGCAGGATGAAGCTTTTTTGTCTTCAGTTTGATCTATTGGAATTGGTGAGACAAAAATGGAGGGGAAGAAGGTGKTTCCTGCAGGCCCCATGACTGGGGCAGAGGCGCAGTGCTGTCTTGTTCYCAGGAATGCAGAGTGGCACAGCTGATCTGATACACAACATGGTCCTGACCCTTCTGCAGAACCTCAAGACTTGCCCCGAGAAGTCTTTGCAGTTGATCCTACCACTTTATGTCAAACTTCAAACACAGASGTTCTCTACAGGTGCAGGAAATGCAGGTACTTTGTATGTTCAAAATTATGTATTTATATATATATATATAAAATACTTTATATTTCTCCTTAAAAAGTCATTGTGAAATCCACTCAAGAATACCCTGTGTAAATCAATAGTTAATCAGGTAAGGGATGAGCTGTTGCCTGTGTTTCCATACCATGTTTGCAAAATAAATCAAAGTACAAAATACAAAACTTTTTGTTCCCTGGAGCGGTGCTCGTGAACCTTGTAGACTAATCAAAAAAAAGTAGAATTTGTACTCCTCTGTTTAATTATTTACAGTCAGGAGCACCTATATCCCTCTTTTATTGTCTGTCATTTTGCCCAGTTAAAAAAAAAAACAAAAACATTTGTTTTATTTCTTTTTCCCCCATGTCCTGGAGGGCAGACGCGCTCTGTTCCGTAGCTCCAGCATTTTGTCCCACACGGAAGGAATTGGACCAACAGCCTTTGCYCACAAGAGGATAACACCCACTGCACAACTTTCTGGGAATGGCCAGGAAAAGTGCACCTCGTACTTCACTGAGCCCGTGCAGTGGATGGAGCCAGCATTGCTTGGAGTGATGGAAGGACAGGTGAACTGGAGCATGCACTTTATTCTTTGGATTTTTGTGGGGTTTTTTTTTCTTTTTTTTTTTTTGCAAAGGCAGCAAAAACTGTCTCTCCTCTGAAAGGAAAACCCCCACAAGGTCCTAGGCCTCCCAGCCTTTCTGGTGTGAACTTTGCAGCTCATGGGCACGTTCTTAAACGCAAAATATCCTTTTACAAGGAATAAGGAATGATTTACAAGCAGAGCTGGTGCTCYGGTTGTGAGCTTACAGCACCAGCCAGGGTGTTGGAAAGGGTTTATCTGCTGTTTGGTTTTATTATGAGAAAGGCTTGTGGGACTTAAAAAGGCTGTTTGTGTACTTAGGCTGAGTCTTTCTGGACCCTGGTAAAACTATCCTGGAATTCACACCAGGTCCCAACAGCTGCATTTCCACACCCTCCCAGCTGTCTGCTACACCCCAGGGCTAAACAGCCCTCCCAGTTTAGCTTTTTGGCTGTTTTTTACTAGATCCACTTCAACACACATSTTAGACTGAGTCCTGGGTTTTTCTTGCAGCTCCTGTGTCCTAAATGTACCTCAAAGCTGGGCTCCTTCAGCTGGAGGGGGGACCAGTGTTCCTGTGGCCGCTGGGTGACTCCGGCCTTCCAGATCCACAAAAGTCGGGTGGATGAAGTGAGGACACTGCCARTTGGTAAYTTCCAAACTGCCAAAACTTGAACTYATCGCTTTACTTGATGGATTTCTCCACAGAGAGCTACTGACTAGTCCATGGTAGCCAGGAATRAGCCTGTGACTTCCACCCCTTTGTGAGGTGGCAAAATTACTTGGAAAACCTTGAGCTTGCTGTATCTCTTAATGTAAAGTATCAGAATAGTTCCTTCAAAGAGGTTTTATAGTTTGGTCAAATCTACAAAATGGGCCAAATGTGATGTTTTTAGTGCATTCTTGTATGTATTGCTGTTTACAAAAGGTCTCAGCTCCTTACATGAAAGGAGTTTCTGTGGCCAGCAGTGCTGCTCAGCTTCTGATCTCAAGTGCCAAGWGCTCTAAAGTGATACAATAACAGTTGTTGTATTAGCATGCATGGCAGCAGAAGGCAAACCTACAGTTTTAYATTTCTATTGTATTAAAAGGAATCCTAAAAATACCTCCCCTAAGAGTATTTACTACATCGCAACTCTTTCATGTAATGTGTGAGGATATTGTGCAAGCTGTACTGGAATGGGAGAACTGAAGGAAAAGAGTTCATACCAAATTACTGCTTAGTTTTAAAGGAATCTCTAAACTGATTAATTTTTTAAAAGCAAGCTGTGAGCTTAGGTGAGGGGCTGCTGTRTACACCACTGTGGCATAGGTTTAGTTTGACATAAGAAAACAGGACAGATAAAATCTAATTTAAATCAATTTTATTTTCATTGACTTGAACAATTTTTTTAAATTTATTTTTTTACACAATTTCCAGCAACATACATTATGAAATATACAAGATAAAGTAGGTGGTGGGGTTCTGCCCATCTTGTAATTCCTCCCACAGCTGTGGAAGGAAGACTTGTAGGACACAGTGAACATCAGAATCTCAACACTGAAAACAGACACAAAACAAAAAGGACAAAAATATATATGAAACTTTGAACTGGTCACACTTCAGGGCCAGGTACAGCACAATAAATATTAGAACTGCATTATCTTAGACATCTTCTGTAAAGTTTATAACATCCTCTATTTAAAGAGATAAGAACATCTGGTTTCTAGCATGAAATGCTACATTGTACAGTGGTGAAGGGTACAAACGATGAGGAGCCCAGCAAGGGCTTGGATGGCGACTACTCATTCACACATGCTCGTTGATAAAATAAGCAGCATACACCGAAAGTTTAGTGAGCTGTAAACTTAAGCATTCACTACCAGAATATCAGCTGGAGGAGCAGTTTCTTTTTGGGAGAGCCAAAAATAGTCAATCCCTTTAAGTTTCAGCTGGGCTCTCCCCTGACAGTGGGTTGATACCATAATAGAAGTGGCAGCGTTTGGTCCGTAGCAMAAGATCCCTTTGCATCACTACTGTTCAAAGCTGGCGCCGGTGGAAATATTTCAGTGCAGAATTAACACTGGTGTAGGCACGGTGTCAGGTGTTGTCTCAGGACTAACAAAGCAGTAGATGGCAGCTGGAACCCAGCTGGGCACAGGATGCCACCTGACACAATCGAGAGGGAGAGACTGGAGAGGATGCCAGCATCTCACTCTTATCACACTAGAGCAGTGGGATGAGTGCTGGGCTCGGGGAGTTTGACAGAACCTCATCCTCATCTAGTTTTGCCAGGATAAAAGCCCCAGAGACAACACTTTCAGCTGCTTGACAGAGTGGTTCCAGGGCACAGAGCAAAGACCAGAGCCACTGGTTTCTCTTGCATCGTAATCAACAAGGCAGGAGTAAATACATTTTGTACTCATCAACCTTCCCCCATTCATCCCCTGCCCCCAGTTGAGCATCATACATTCCTCTTACACGRGAACTGGGGACCTTCTGTGCCAACACTGAACAGGCCATGTGAGCACAGGTGGAGGAAGAAGGCTAAGCATGTGCTTTCCTTTCCTTGGCATAACCTGAGCATTGCACTGGGGGCAACTGCACTGGCAGAGCACCACCAAGGAAGYACCACGCTGTGGTCAGCACACGTGGCATCGCTGCACCTCGCCAACCATGCCCTGCAGTACATGGCAGCAGTCACAAGCTTCACAAAGTAAAGCAGCTGAGTGGGGGGATTTTTTGGGGATGAATGGGAGCCAAGAAGGTAAAAATCTACTGGAAGCTGAGCACCTATGGCTTTGATTTTAGGACTGTTGGACTCAGCATCATCTATCTCTATTAAGTAGGAAGATAAAATTGTATTTCTCCATTGTATGAAATTATACCAGTCGCTTGGTGCTCATCTTCTAGTTAGTCCCTTCTTGGAGAGGACCAGAACCACCACATTTCAATACCAAAATACTCAGCTGAGAGACTCAGAAGTGACAGTAGTGAAAAAGTTTTGGTTTTATCAACAGATCATTAGAATATGGTCAAAAATTCTGTTTGAGAACAGGGAGTTCTACGTCTGATAGTCACTTAGCAAAGTGCCAGGTGTAAATGCCCTTACCACTGCCAGCTCGCAATGTACCGCATGACTGCATGAAAACTACACCTCCTCTGCCAGTGCAGCTCAACTGGTTACACCCCGAGGTGTAAGATTGGTTACCAAGAGAGCTGGGAGAGGAAAGGTGAAWTTTTTCCCACCCTAGAAGTGTACACAACAGCATTTCCTCACTCAGCCAGGCCCATTCACACACACATCACTCACCACTTCAGACACACAAAGCAATGCCAAATACAAACTAAGAGGAATGTTTTTTTGTAAAGACACTCTCTGAGTATGAACAGGGGAAACAGGGTTATTTATCAACTCAAGTACTGTTGCATCATTCTTGTAAGGTAGGGAAGCAGAGGAGCTGAGATGAGGAACTGAGAGGACAAACTGGAGTGGTCACAGAGGTCGAGTCTAGTCTTCCAGACTGCGAAATGCATTCTGCATATCCTCAAACAGCTGAGCATAGTCCGCCTTGATTTTTGTTTCACCATCTTTGACAGGGTCCTGAAAGAACACAGCACAYAAATCCATCAGGAAAAGCCTTGAGTACTTAGGTCAGGCCTGTTTTGCCAGTGCTGTAACCTCTCAGGATTAACACTTGCTAACTGCAGARAAGGCATTGTAGCTCTTTGCATCCTGTTTGTCTTATCAACAGCCACAGGGTTTAAATCCCATTCTCTTCCCACACTAGTGACCAGGCAGAATGGATACTGGACAGAGAAATTTTTTTTTGTGAGCAGTGATTACTGCACTCAAAAGCAACTGATTAGGAGAGCAATCAGCAATACTGAGGGTCCTGGTTAATGCTGTGTGATTCAAGAGCTGCAGTGATTAATACAGTTAATGCAGTTCCTATCCCCAAACCAAATGCACGGCATCCCCAATACATGGAAGAGTTACTCTGCCATTACTCAGACGTTGTTTGGTTTAAATTAAAATCTATTGTGTAATTGTAAGAAGCTAAAAAGATATCTTTGCACAGCTTCATTTTCTTRGAATACTTTTCATGAAAGACGAAGGCAAAAAATGTTAACAATGGGCTTTGCTCTGAGGCCACAAGGTTCCTCTACAACAAGCATTGTCAGGCTGTGAAATCTATTCCCTGTCTTCACCATTCTCTTCACATTACTAAGATCCTCTGGGCCAGTGCAATTCCTGGGAAACACAGAGGCCTTACATGTTTGGATGCAYTACTTCTTAAATTATCTCTCCAACCCAGACCACAGGATGCAGGRCATCTGAATCCTCACACCTTTCAGACTGTTACCCAGGAAATACAATTTTCTTTCCATAACTATAAGAGGTCCAGCTCCACTTAACATATGAACACCCTCTGGATTCCCTTTTTCAGCCATGCTGTCCACTGCTCTGCTGTACTCCAGGTGCCTGCTGGTGGGCCAGGGTTTGTAAGAAGTATTTCAATTACACTCTCTCAAAGAAGCTCATGCCCCCAAGTATGTCTTGTTATGTTCTTGGTGATTTGAGAATATATACCAGGAACCCACTTACTGTAGAAATGAGCCAGTACCTTGCAGCAACAGAGTATATTGGCATGGCAGAACATTAAATTCTAAATATAATTTAATCCTATGGTACTTATTCTCCCAAGATTTGCAATATTGACTCATATATGAGTTTTAACAGAGTAAGCATTCTATTTCATAGAGGATATCAGCCAGTATCACAGTTTACTACTGTTCTTCCTGTAGTAACTGCTACACCAGCAAGCTTTGGATSAGTTTTAGTACAGCTGTACCCTAAAATGATGGCTACAAAAGTTACCCAGAGCAGGTGCTTCCATCCACTTGTTTTCTCTGAAGCCTAAGTTACTGCTCCCTTCCTCTCCTCACTTTCAGCAGTCTATTTTATGTTAGAGACAGATAAAAGCAGCTTGGAGTCTAAATCCATGAATGTGTTAAAAAGTGAATGATATTGATATTGATCAAGCTATTTTAAATGGAAGTTAAGGAAAGAAATGCTCCTGCAATAATATGTGTGTGGCTTCAGGCTGCTTCTCTCTAATAAGTCTCCTTAGAACATATTATAATATTTTTACAGAATTTTATCACAAAACCCCTAAAGAAAACAGGAAAAAGTGCTTGTACTGTTACCATGACTATATATAACACAAAAGAGACTGCTGAAGGTGGGGTTGCCAAGGCTGTGCAGTCAGCATCACCTGATTAGATTTCTGTACTGACCATTCCTGTGCTCAGAACCCAGTTCAACATATTCCAAATTACAGCAAAATTCAAAATTCAAAATTACAGCAAAGAGTCTCTGTTCACAGACCTTTAAAGCCTTTGGTCAACACTASTGAATCAGTTTTTCAGGGGCACTGGAAGCTGACAGAAAGCAGGACAAGCCAGTTCCTTACAAACATACCTTGAACTTCATGGAGGTAAGTCTGTAGAGGATTTCACTCATGTTCTCTCGGATGATGGACCACGTGATCTTATTATCACTCTGAGCTGTGGTTTCTACAGCACGGCGTGCCATGTCATAAAATGCAATCATATTGGARAGCATTCCCACTGTTTTATAGAAAGGGCAGAACCTGATGGAACAGAAGAGGATCTGTCAGGCATTTTGAAACAGTTAACAGATTTTCCCCTGGATTCTCACCTGACAGAAGAGTGCTAGCTTGCTTTATTGCAGGTATTTTTAATATATACTGCCAAGGGAGAGGGGCTGCCTTCAGTTGGTCCCACATTTTTAAACAGGCAAATCATAGGCCAAAACAACCATCCTGAAGTTGACTGAAGCTGAAGTTCCTGAAGCAATACCCAAACACTGGGCAAAACAGGAGAGAACAGGAGCCACTGCTCTGCAGGTCTCMCATTTCAACCTGTGCCAATACTAACAAATAAAAGAAAACAATGAGCAGCCAACGGAATTCCTCCTTCCTGTTTTGTCCATCAARGGAGCAGGCATCCTCCTAACAGCCTGGGATGACAGCTCTGCAAGTTTCTTTGCTCMCAGGAAAGGGAGTGTTTCTAGGACAAGAGCACTTCATACACAGTTCCATTTTTAATGGGTAGGGGAGTGTCATGAAAGATATCTCATTATTATTTATGTGCTACTTCCTGTCTTCCTATAGTGAACACATGTTCCTGCCCCAGTAACCTGATCCAAGGCACACACTGCCACAAAATGATGGATGTCTACATTTTTAGTAAAGAAGCACTCAAGACTTTCTGATCTACCTGGACTGAGGAGTGAGATGAAGTAGAAAAAGGCCCCTTGTCAGGCTGTTAAAAYACAAGGAGAGCATGGAAAAAGCAAAGCAGAGAGTAAGGGCTTTTCTTGATGGTTCAAACTTGCTCAAGAATTATGCAGTGGTAACTGAAAGCAGATTGTTGCAGTCCCCTGGGTATTAATGGAATAAACAGGAAGACTTTGGATGTTGTCTGTGAAAATAAAGCAGTCCTGTCTCAGGACATGCTACTGCAGAARCATTGGCTAACTGAACAACAGAAGAAGATCTGGGAACCCCAAAGGGTTCTGTTTTCAGAAAGAGTCTGCATGCCTTGGGTAAGACAATGTGAATGCACTGTTCCATGGGCTACCTAAGCACAATTCCTCCACTTCTTTATGGACAGTAACATTAATTTCTGCACTGGTCAGCCTCCAAGTAAAGTAACTGTATGGATCCAGACTGCACAGGACTAAGAGGCCACACAGATCTCACCTGTCRTAAGGTGTGTAACCATTCTGCTGCAAGAAATCATCTTTTATCAGCTTGGCAACCTCCAAGGTAATTTTATCTGTTTCTGCCAAGGAAGCCTAGAAAAATAAGGAAAATAGTTWATTTAGTACTCAAGTCCACAAGGCCAAAACCACCTATTTTTCAGTACCTGTCTTCTTCTCATCCTCTTAAGATATTGTCAAGCAGAATTCTGTCTTTTGGGTATTCCTCACTCCCTGCTATAGAACAGCCAATGTAACTGATTGCCAGATTAAGATGGGCCAAACAGTCTGTAAGGCTGCTTTAGGTCTTCTGATGGTAAACAGTAGAAAGGAAATTCCCTTTAAGATCAGGGAAGAGCCACCAGACACTGAAAATGCACATGGCTATGCTACAAGATACATTGAAACATCATTTCCCTACATAAAGAGAAATTAATTTTTACCTTCCTCARTCCTTATAGAAGGATTATGATCTCAGCATGCTAGATCAAGAAGCAAGCTTAAGGATTTGGTACTAGCCCATACCATTACCAATGGCCTTTTCCTGWCTGGCATTCAAGAAAAAGAAAGGACCTTTCCCATGAGGAGACTAAGAAAATTCAGAGCTAAAAGGAAAAAAACCACATTGACTATATTTCCACAATTCTCCCTTCCTATAAGGGGTTTGTTGCAGTTCAACAGTTAACAGGCAGTTAACAAACTCTGTTGCAGTTATTAGCCAAGCTCAGACAAAAA